TATCTTCTATCCTCCTCCGTTTGATTTCATGATTGAATTTATAATTTCTTGAAAACACCATCTTCTGATCGCGATATCATCTGCAGCTCGGTTTTTTCGCGCCCCCTTTTGGAAGTTCGGAATAAGCCATACAGTTCGGACTCTCGCGGTTCTGAATCTAATCTCATAAGTGTAATGTGAAATTGATAAATACCCAAGAGTCCAAATCAAGCAAATCTTTTGGAAAATCGATTTTGAATCAAAAATGCCAAAATTGGGCTGCTTTGCCAAATACAGAGTCGCCACCTAAATATTTTATTTTTGAAAAATTTAGGAAACCCATGACTCATGTCAAAGGCCACGTGTCCGTCATCACCAAGATTGTCTCGACTCGGGAACTTAGGTACGAGAGGAGAAGGTCATGAATTGAGCACCCTCGCTCCCTCGATCAAAGATCGGCCTCTACTAATCATGATATGATTTTTATTAACATTATATATTCTTGTTCTGATTTATTAGGCTAGCATTACTATGTGATGTACACACAGAAGATATAAACTAGTTTTCCCGAATTAGAACAATTCAATTTTATGTTTGTTTTTTGTTGAAAAGGGTTTATTTTGCCACTTAACAAAATGGGCTTAAAATTTGTGAATTTGCCACTTGATAAAGTGGGCTTAAATGTACATTCATTGAATCATTCCAATTCAAGCAACAAGCCTTCATCCACAGGCACTCAAATAGTTTATCAATTAAGCATTTAGCCTCATGGCTAGACATGGCAACATTCACACGCATGCGGTTTATGCTAAAGCAAATAAAAGCTTACCTAGTACGCCAAGCCAAAATAAACAAAAGAGTTAGAAAATGCATGATCCTAGCTTTATGCAATATGACTAATGCAACACATGCGATATGCAGTTAGATAGGCTTGGCTACTAAACATGGCATATGAATCGATTTGACAACATGCGGTCTAAGTACATATTCAAAGAAGTTATTGAAACAACAATGCAGTTAGAATGATGAACCAAGCCCCGATGCATGCAATACGAATGGATGCAAATATGGAGAATGCTAATTGAAACATGATGTCCTTAAACTAACCATCATAAGCAGTTAAATAAAAGGGAGAAAGACGTGGGGTTGGAAGACATACACATTATTACATTGCGCTCTCATGAAGGAGAGTCCGAATAGATAGACTAGCTAATTAACTAACTAATTAAAGCTAAGCTAATTAAGCTAATTATTACAAAACAAATGAAATTAGCCAAACTACTTAACTAATTATTACAACACTTGAATTAATTAACTAGCTATCACTAATTAATTAAAATAAATACAACACTTGAATAAAATCAACTAGCTATCACTAATTAATTACAACAAGATTTATTCACAACTATGATAATAATAACACTAATGAAACAATTAATCGCAATTGATAAGAGTGTAATGGAAGATAGATGAAGGTTGCATACGCAGTGCCTGAAAGGTACTCTATCTGCCTAAGCTGCCTCTGTTTCACCTTCAGCCACTGACTCTGTTTCTGCAAAACCGCACTGTTGGCCACACACTAAGGGCCGACCGTGCATCACTAATGGTTAGCTGGGCCTATAGATGGCCAGCCGTGCATCAATTTGGTGCAAAGCTCTGTTTTTGTGTTTTGAGGTGAATCCAGTGCAGACAGAGCATTCTCAAGCTCTGTTTGTCCCTTCTTCCTTCTCTGTCATAGGAAAACCTCGAGAGAATGTTAAAATTGATTCCAAAGCCATCAATGAACAAATTGATTGCTTGATGGTCTCGAATGCAATTTTGGACAAAAGTTAATAAAATGCAAAGAGTAAGACCACTCTTCCCTCCTATTATAGTATGAACTCAAAGAGAGAAGTTGCAACGCTTCAAGAATCATCAAAATGCCATAGATTAGCATGTGATGACTCTTGACACAAGTAACTTGGCATAACATCCGGCCAAGTTGAAGCAATTTAAGCCACTTTATTTATGTGTGTTGATCCAAGTTTTAAACCAATTTTATTAAGCCCTGCCATTCTTTAGTCCATTTGTCCATGGTGACGTTAAAGTCCTCTAAACAAGAAGTAATGTCAAACGAGAGGTTCTTCTGAAGCATGAGAGAAAGAGTATACCGTTGCCAATGAATCTTCTTAAAGATTAAGCCATTAAGTAAGAATCTTTCTTACATATCTTGAACAACCTCAATCGATTGAAATCATTCTCAAGAATGCAAAAAATGGATGGTGGATTGATTATTAAACTTAGACTCTTAAACATCGAAATGAGTAAAGGATTGCTTGGAACAACATGTAACAAGTTACATATGCTAACTTATGAGACCACAAATGAACTAAACAAAGCATGAATCAATTTAAAAGGCTTGGATAGCCCTAAAACAGTCCTTAATACATAAAAAATAGAGACTAGACATGCATGAAAAGAGCTTAAAAAGCTAAACAATAAAGAGAGGAATGAAGGCTAGTAAGCAAGAGGAATGAAGGGTGGCTAACCCTTCCACTTTTGAAACCTCAAAACATGATTTTTAGCCTTTTGAAAACACTGAAAATCGGGGTAAATATCAAAGAAAAAGAGTGGAAAATGAAGGGTTTGAACTATAGGTAAAGGTGTAGAAACAACAAGCTCTTTCTACCCTTTTGGTAGCTCTTCAAACCCAACCTTAAACACTTCAAATAGTCTCAAAACAATACAAAACAGTAAGAATTATGAAGCAAGTGTAAGAAATGAAAGCAAGAGAGAAAATAACAAGCTTATACCTTTCAAGGGGTAAGCTTGTTGTTGATGATCCAAACTTGGTTTCAACTCACTCTTAAGCTTGAATTATGCTTCTCCAAAATCAACCAAGACTCTAAGGTGGTGAGACAAGGTTGTATATGGAGTATAGAGATGACACAAGGAAGCTAAGCTAGCTCAAAGGTTGCTTGCAATGGAAGAAGGAGGAGGGAGGAGCTCTCAAGGTGTATATAGGCTCTCTAAATTTTGTTCAACCCTCAAAACAATCACGCAACTTTGTTTTTGTAGAATTCGAGCTCAAAAGGTGATAAATATCTTCAAAATGGACAGTTGGCAGGCTCCCACCCAGAATAGTATTTTTGGCCACCAAGGGCCGGTCGGCCATTCATAGCCACGACCAGCCATCACTGATACACAACCGGGCTTTGATGCCTTTCCATGTCTTTTGGTTCAAACTCAACTCAGAGTGAAAAAAAGGTCCAAAAATGAAACTCACACATTTTTACAAGGTAAATGTTGAAGATTTGAGGTTATTTCGACAGCTTGATTGAATCCAAATCGCTGTAAATTCGAAGCACACGATTCAGATTTCATCATTGAGTGTATCGACCCAAACGCCGGCGGTCAAAAATGGGGTGTCTACATCATCACTTTGAACTGACTAGTCACTGTATAGAAAAAGCACGCATGCATACGGAGTTTACTGTGCCCATGTGAACTTCACTTCGTAGCGGGATTAATTTATTAAGTCTGTTCAATGTCATTGCATCACTAAGTCATTTTGGATGGATCTCTGCACGACTTGACAAGTCACTGCATGTTGACAAGTAACAAACCATTATAGCATTTTATCTTCTACCTTCCTCCCTTTGATTTTATGATTGAATTTATAATTTCTTGCAAACACCATTTTTCTGACCGCTATATCGTCACATGCAAGTGACAGCGCACTATATGAAAAAAGCAAGCTTTTGTAGACATTGAAGAGGTTAACTCATTAATGCATCATTCGTTCTTCGTTCTTACGACCAACTATTTGTATTTTATTGTAAAGCCATGACTATTTGAATTTTTGTTTTCATTTACAATTTATTGAAAATCAACTTTCGCATCTTCAATTTATAATATTTTGGAAAACATTTACAACATCAACTGAACATTGGTCCTAACGTATCCACTCGAAGATCAATTGTAATAAATTTGTAAATCCCACGCATGCCCACTTAACCCAATAGATATGGAAGATTGATTGTTATTTTTATTTTGTCTTCAAGGGCTATTAAATCTAGTCAGTACATTTTGGCAGACTATTTTACTTTGGAACATTAACAAAATTCAATTATAAAATATATATGGCCTTTTAACAAAATAACAAAATAAACATATGGAACATTATTTTTGTAGTTTATTTTGTAAAGAAATAATATATAATTAATTTTAATATTTATGCCTTACAAATCTTGTACTTTCAAAATGAGAGCACACTATGAGTAGAAGAGTACATGACACCTTCATCCTAAACATAAGGAACCAAATTTGTGCTAAAATTTTGTATATTAACAAGAGGAGAGCTAATCCATATGCCGGTAGTTACAAAAAGGACGAACGAAAATTAGCCCAAGTTTACAAAATGAAACAAAGCATAGAAAAATATTAACATTTAATTATGTGTGACGCTGACAATAAGGAACTCAAAAATATATGCGACTGTTCCCAATTATCGCTTTGCCCTAAACTGTTGGAGTGTAACACAAAAACAGCCTTTTTAAAGACAAATGCAAAATAAAATAGAAAATGTTTATTATAAAACGACTTTTGTAAAGCCGTATTATAAACCGGTTTTAGAAAAGATATTTCATGAATCAAAATATTTTTGACAAATAATATTTGTGTTGAAAATATAAATTGGCAAAAAAATAATTTACTAAAAAACAAATTTACGAAAGCCTGTTTTAATTAACTCAGATTTAACGACTTTTCAAAAGCTATTTTTGTTAAAAAAAATTTAATTTTTTTATTCACAAAAAGGGGGTTTGGTAAAGCTGGTTTACCCTACTATGGGAATAAAGAAAGAAACTGACCCTTGGGAATAAATTTGGGATAATGGCAAGTGGTGATTCATTTCATTAATTTTTGAACCACTAATAACTCTAATAAACTTTAAAAAATATATAAATAAATAAACTCAAGTTAAAACATCACATCATTTTAATTATTGTATCACATCATTAATGATGCTGTCGACTTCCCAATTTAATGCTCTAAAACATTATTCGGATAATGGCATAGTCAACGAAATTGGCCCCCAATCTCCATCCATCTGGTCCTGTTAACAACCAACGACTGAAAGAACTCAAACTCCCCCACCAGTCTCCGTAAGCTTCTCTCTCTCTCTCTCTCTCTCACACACACACACAGTTTCATCTTCCCCTTTTCAACTAGCTCATTTCTAGATTTTTTCAGGTCAAGTTCGACGTTAATTGGTCGCCTATCATAATAATAATTAATAATTAATAATTAAGCTTTGTTTTGTTGTTTCCGATTCTATACTCTGTTTGGTTGCCGAGAAAATTGAGTGACAGCAAAGTAATTATTGGAAATTGAATCAAAGTTTTTTCACTATCGATATAGCTTTTTCCTGACGTGATTATTTTCTTTTCAGTTTTCTAGGACCAGAAGTGGTTGGTTTTTCTATGATGATTGTAATTTATTTCCAATAGCTGTCTTGATCAGGTGATTGCTTAATCATATTTGTGAGAATGAAACGGAAAAATGCAAGTTCTTCGGGGACAGCAAATCCCGCGGTTAGTCATAAGCCTAGTGATGTTCCTGGTGTTAGTGAGGGACCGCAAACCAGTGACAGTGTTAGAATTCGAAACAGGTCACCATATGCGATACTGGCACTGTTTGTTCTGGTGATATATGGCTCTTGGGCTGTTTATCATTATCAGTTTGAGACTTTGCCTATGCCTCTTACTGCTGATCAGGCAGGCAAGAGGGGTTTTTCTGAGGAAGAAGCCATGAATCATGTAAAGGAATTGACTGGTTTGGGCCCACGTCCTGTCGGTTCTGATGCTGTTGATCTTGGTCTGCAGGTTAGTATGTAGAATTAATTTGTTTCTCGCAAAGCTTGTATGAACGTCAATGTACTTTTGTTGAATGTAGCTGCATGATCACACCCTATCTATGAATCCTACACCTTGATATGTGCCATTACATTACGGTCTTATTTAATTTAATTTTATTTTATTTTTTGAAAGTATATGAAATTGTTAATCAATTCAAATAATCAAATAATCAATTCAACCAATCATGCAAAATAAAAAAGCAATTAATCAGGAGACAATAGATTTGAGGTGAAAACCCTACAGCAGCCCATTTCTATACGGGAGAAATTGCGATCCCAACATCCAAATCAAATCCACTATGTGTAGTCAAATGGTTACAAGCCTCTAGACATGGAATTACGACCCTTACGCAAGTTTTCTACACCATTGAGTCCACCACAAGCTCCAAAGTAGCTTTGATGGCATTAACCCCCGTTGATCCAATAGCTTCCACAAAATTTCATGCTGCAATATCTGCTAGGTTATGCAACGGACATGGTGTGAAGGGATAAAAGGAGTGATGAAAGGTTTTTATGTGTGGTGATTCAATCTATATGAACACTGAGCATAATTCATGATCTAAAGCTTTAAATTGAAGATTAAACGAGATTGTAACAGTTTTGTTCTATTCTCTTCTGGTTTCATTGGGCCGTGATTCACTATTATTAGAACCAACCAGCTCAGCCAGTTGAACAGCAACTGTTCACCAGGTGTGATCACAAAAAGAACTAGAAATGTGAAATATGTGCAAGAAATAAAGCGGAGGCTTAGTGATGGTGAGATTTGAACCTTACATCTTTTTATTCCTAATAACAAGGTGCAACTGATCTTCAATGCATCTTCTTGTCGAAGTTCTAGAACTATTTACATTTAAGTGATTCACATGCTAGATTGGGTAAAGACAGGCTGGGTCAGGGTTGAACTAGCGAACTAGCCACCATATGAATTGACGGCTGGTTTGGTTCTGACAATGATGGTATGATTTTACTTTTGTATTGTCCTGGTATATTGCTTGTGTGCATTAGTGTATCTTTAATTTTTGATGCCTTTCAATATAGAAGCTGAACATTTCCTTTTGGCATGAGAACTAGAATTAACACTACATTTTTATGCTGTCAATTATGATCATCCTTATGTATGCATACATACTTTTGTCTGATCTCATAATTTTGGGTCGGTGCACATTCTGCTCATTTATTCTCCCTTATTCCTAAAAATTTTTGTCTAAGAATGGCCATTTGGTGATTGCTTTCTTGAGATTGTATCTTGTAGAAAACTTCTTTTAACATGCATCTCTCTGCAGTATGTCTTGGCTGTATCAGAAAATATAAAGAAAACAGCTCATTGGGAAGTTGATGTTCAAGTGGATTTTTTCCAAGCAAACTCTGGTGCCAATCGGCTGGTTGGTGGCCTTTTTAAGGGAAGAACACTTGTCTATTCAGATCTAAATCACATTGTATTGAGAATATCGCCAAAATATGCATCTGAAGCAGAAGAAAGTGCTATTCTGATCTCCTCCCATATTGATACTGATTTTTCAACGTATGTTTCCTCTGTCTTTACGGTCCTATCCTGTTGGAATACTTTTTTTTTTTTTAGATTAGATTAGATTATGTGTGTTAATTTAAGTTAAATGAATCTATATGGGCACCGGAAAGTAATAACTATCTACATTAGTTTTTTCCTTGATTCTTTTTTTTTTTTTTTGGGTGGTTATCATGAAATCTTTAACAACTGTTTTTATATTTTGTATTTGTATTTGCAAGTGCCTATATCGGATATACTAGAAATTGAATGAGAAAAATAAAATAAGAAAACAGTAGTGCATTTTACTGATTTCCCTTTTTAAAAGGATATATGGTATTCTCTAGATCTTAATCTTGTCACAATCAAAGGAATAGGAAATGCAGCACTGTTCAAACATCTCAAACTTTTTGTAACAGCGTTGGCCGCTTGTTGAATTTCTGGTTGTCTGGCTTGTGTAAAAGTGATCTGTATTTTGTCTTTTTACCACCAAGGAAAATTGTTTGAATTTTTTTTGATAAGTAAAATAGGTTACAAACAAAAATTGCCTTAAGGGGGCGAATCCTATACACTCAAAGGCCACAACCTATATATATCCATAGGCATGCACAAATTGTCTATAAACTGGACAAAAGATGCAACAGTGAAAGGACAATCCTCCCTGAACCGAAAAAAATAACAGGAGTAAAGATCCTTTCATGCTAGACAAAAGTAATTTAATATCCTCAAAGGTTCTCTGATTCCACTCTCGCCAAATTGTCCACAATACACAGAGAGCTGCAGTCTTTCTATTGAATATTGTGGTTCGAAATGTTCCTATTCTTCAGTTTGTTATTCAATGCAACTCAATTCAACAAGCCTTAATTCCATTTTTTGGGGTTGCTGCATGGATCTTTTGTTCCTCTAATTTCTCCTATTCCAGGCCAGCCATATCTTCATGTAAATCCGAGTCATCATGTTATTTTTCACTGCCTTGATCCATGTCCTTCTTGATGGTTCAGTATGTTCTATTCTCATTCATAATTCAAATGTATGCTAATAAATGTGAATCAAGATAAAAGCTCTTAATTATGTTCCAGTCTATCTTAACCCTTTTATTAGGGCCCTCAACTTGCAGGGTTTTTACTAGTTGTTGTGACACTATTCTTCATTGCTTCTCCTAATCTAGTTCAGGCTAATACTATGTAGCACACCCCCACCGGGATTTGTGGTTTCTTGTATTGGCAACATTCGTTTTGCCAAGTATTACTAGACAATCACATAAAATCAATTCAACTCAACATAAAGCCTTGAAGCACATGTATATTTTTAGAGAGAGAGAGAGAGCTTAAGTATCATCTCACCTTTTTCGCAGCCCTTTTTGCCTCTTTGGAGGAGGGGCATCAAAATATCTTACCAGAACATAAATTGTTTGAAATTATTTCGTATACTTCATTTCTTAAGATATTATGGAATTTGAAAAATTGAATTGTAATGCATGATAAGGCATGCCTATAAGTCCTTTGAAGGTGCATATCTTAATTGATTTTGTTTTTTTTTGAATATTGCATATGCTTTGATATTAGCTTTTAATTTTTGTATTAGAAGTAAATATTGGGTTATTTTATTTTATTTTTAAGTTCCTAAACCAAATATTGGCTTAATACGTATTATTGTATCTGATTCAATATATTAAAGTCAAGAAACACATTATTTTATTTATTTATTTATTTATTTTTGATAAATAAGAAACACATTAATTTTACTTATTTATAATATTCAAACAGGAAATAATGTGCAATATCATATCTTAATGTTAAAATTGATGTATAAAAAAAAGAAATAGAGAATTGTATTATTGATTGATTACAAGATTGTTATATATTACAAATGGTGAGTGGCTCATGAGTGGCTCATTATATAGGAGAGGGTGAGTGTAGTAGGTGAGGAGTAGGTGAGGAGTAGGTGGTGGTAGGTGATGGTAAATTGGTGGTAGGTGATGGTAAATTCTAACACTTAAATTATAACCTTTTATAGGTATGCTGGTTAACATGGTAAAATGTGCAAAGGTCGTCAAGCATAGAGGTAAAAATGTGAAAATGCCTGTGGGTTGGGATGAAAGAGAGGGACTATTGTATGAACACAAAAACTTCAGTTTTAGGGTTTTTGCATGAATGACAAGTTGGATTAAGGTTAATTAGTAAATAGAAGAACTTAAATGCCGTGTTGATTATGTGCAATATCATATCTTAAATTATAACCTTTTATAGGTATGCTGGTTAACATGGTAAAATGTGCAAAGGTCATCAAGCATAGAGGTAAAAATGTGAAAATGCCTGTGGGTTGGGATGAAAGAGAGGGACTATTGTATGAACACAAAAACTTCAGTTTTAGGGTTTTTGCATGAATGACAAGTTGGATTAAGGTTAATTAGTAAATAGAAGAACTTAAATGCCGTGTTGATTTAGAATTAACAAACCTTGAAAATGAAAATGTTAGGGTATAGGTTACTGAGGACATGGCTTTTAGTAGGGCCAACTAGATGAAACAAATCCGTATAGCCAATCCCAAATAACTGGTATAGAGGACATGGCTTTTAATAAAACCAAACTAGATGAAACAAATCAACATGGCCAATCCCAATTAATTGGGACAAAGACTATATGTCATTACTCAAGGTTGTTCACAGATCAGATTGGTCCGGTTTTAGATTAAATCAAGAACTGAACCAGTTCCTACAGTTATAGAAAGATTAGAACCGTAACCGAACCACTAAACCTGTGAAACAAGACCAAAATTGTGCCATAAAAACTTTATGCGCTACAGATTGGCCAATAAGGAGGTTAAAAAAGTAGTAAGGGAGACTAAGTTAAAAGCCTATGATGACCTATACACTAGACTAAATAGTAAGGAGGGATAGAAGATGATATACAAACTTGCTAAGATAAGAAAGGAAAACAAGTGATTTTAATTAGGTTAAGTGCATAAAGGGTGAGAACTCTAAGGTGTTGGTAAAAGATGAAGAGATTAAGGAGAGCTGGAAGAGTTGTTTTGAGAAGTTGTTAAATGAGGAACAGGAGGTAGGTCAAAAAGGGAGGAAATAGGCAGTAATAAGGAAAATTAGGACTATAGGTTCTATCATAGGATTAGGGACTTTGAAAAGTTTGCACTTAAGAAGATGAAATTGAATAAGGATTTAGGACCTGATGATATATCTATTGAAGCTTGGAAATGTTTGGGTAAGAAGGGAGTTGTTTGGTTGGCTAGGTTATTTAGTAAGATTTTGTTGACTAGGAAAATGTCACAGGAGTGGAGGAAGAGTATTTTAGTGCCAATATATAAGAATAAAGGAGATATTCAGAATTGTAACAACTATAGAGGAATCAAGTTAATGTGTCACACAATGAAAGTGTGGGAGAGAGTGATGGAACGTCGATTGCGAGATATAACATGGGTGTCAAAAAATCAGTTTAGGTTAGGCTTGGTAGGTCGATAATGAAAGCGATCTATCTTTCGAGAAGAGTAATAAAAAAGTATAGAGAAGAAAAGAGACATTCATATGATTTTTATCAATCTTGAGAAAACATATGATAGAGTGTCTCGAGATATAATCTGATAGGTGTTAGAAAAAAAAGTGGTGACAAAAGGTTACATTGATGTGATTAGGGATATGTATGAAGGTGTGGTGACCACTATTAGATCGCCTGCTGGAGAGACGAGTGAATTTTCAATTTTGGTAAGGTTACACTAAGGATCAACGTTAAGTCCTTATCTTTTTGCTTTAGTCATGGATGAGTTGACGCGTGATATTTAGGATGATGTGCCGTGATGCATGCATTTTGCAGACGATATCGTGTTAGTGGATAAGACTAGAGAAAGAGTCAACACGAAGTTGGAGATTTGGAGAAAAGTTCTTGAATCTAAAAGATTTAGGATAAGCAGAACTAAGACAGAATATATGGAGCGTAATTTTAGTAACAATCACAATGGAAGTAGAGGAGAAGTAAAGATTAAGAACCGAGAACTACCTAAGAGTGAAGATTTTTGTTATTTAAGATCGATCATCACAACGACTGGGGAGATTGGAGTAGATGTGGTCCACAGAATTAAGGCGGGGTGGCTCAAGTGGAGGAGTGCGTTTGGAGTACTGTGCGATAAACGAGTGCTCATTAGACTAAAATGGAAGTTCTGTAGAACGGCTATTAAACCAGTGATGTTGTGTGGGACGGAATGTTAGGCAACTATAAAACAACATGTAGAGGAAATGAGTGTTGCTGAGATGAGGATGATAAGGTGGATGTGTGGCAAGACTAGAACAGACAGAGTTAGGAATGAGTATATTTGAGAATGGATAGAAGTAGTACCGATAGAAGATAAGTTGAGAGAGAATAGATTGAGATGGTTTGGTTATATACAACAGAGATCAACAGAGGCAGTAGTGAAGAGATGCGATATAGTGACGGTAGATGGTAGTGTTAGAAGAAGGGGTAGACCTAGATTGACGTGGACTAGTGTAGTAAATAGAAATATGAATCTCCTTAATTTGACTAACAAAATGGCCTGGGATAGAGTCAAGTGGAGAAAAAGGATTCATGCAGCCGACCTCATTTGATGGGACTTAAAGCTTTTTTTGGTTTGATTTAAACAAACTAACAATAAATATGAGGAATGAGGAACCAGTGTAGATGAATGAACATGAATCCAAGACCTCTCAGAACCTAAGCTTTGATTCCAAAAATCAGAAATTGCCCCCAAAAGACCATATATAATAAGCGCTGCCCTTTTATTTATTTTTATTTTAAAAAATATATATTTTTGTTATTTTTGATCAGCAACATAAATAAATTTATTAAAGATAAAAAGAAATACAAAGAGAGGACAAGGAGTCTTAATCAAAAGAAACTAGACAACTCAAATCAATACGAAGAAGGCAAACTTATACATCACAAATAGCTCTCCAAGCTCTAGAAATCTAATTAGAGGAGTCCCTTTAAATGAAGTTGAAAGAGAGGCCCACAATGATGCCTATCCCACAAAGACGCTGTATCATTGAACTTGTCCTTAAAGATCCTTGCATTCCTTTCCATCCATATAACCTAAAAAATTGCAAAAATACCACAACACCAAAGCACTTTTACTTTCTTTTTACCCCCACAACCTCAGAAGTCGATAAATATCATGTGTGCACATATGCCCGGTGCCACTCAAAGGATATCAATCATATGAAAGAGAATGCCAAAGATCCAAAGCCATTTGGCAAAGTAGGAATAAGTGATCTAAAGACTCCTTGCTCCTTCTACACATTATGCATCATTGGGCACAGAGAAAGCAACGAGGTCTCCTCTTTTGGAAAATATCATTTATCATGACCTTCTCATCAGCCAAAGACTACATAAAAATTCTTACCTTTCGAGGCACAATTGTTTTCCAAGTTCTCTTGTGAAATAGGAAAAAAAAAAAAAAAAAAAAAAAAAAAAAATTGGCTTATAAATAAGAATTTCAAAGACAGATTTGCATGAAAAAAATTTAGATGAATGATTAAGCCAAACCCGCTTTTTACTCACATTTGGAGATAGTGAAACAAACCATCAAGCAAAGACAACAAAGATCCCACCTTAACAAGGTTCACATGTTTGCCTACTTAAACGATGTTGCCTTTGCAACCGCTTTGTATTGCTCCACCAATTGTCATCCACTTCATTTTTGTGGTCATGTGATGACTTGAATTTCTGCATCTCAAGACTTGCCAAAACCAGCTGGTTTGTAAAGTACAGTTTTGGTATGTACTTGTAGTTTCTACATTCCAACCTCTTCCTGTTTGGTTGGTCCAAATGGTGCTGTTTCGGTTTGCAACATGCCCAGAGCTAGAGGAGATCAGTGCCTAGGTTCTGTTTACACAGTTTAGTTGCATGAGAAAATTGACACTTGATGTCTGCAATTGCAAGAGTGCATATCTTCAAGCTTATTTGTTTTAGAGACTTAATGAAGTTGCTGCTTTAGCTTTTCAAGTACCTCCTTCAAGGGAATGGATTTTCTTGAAAAGAATCATTTTGTTTTTCCCACCCGCATGATCTATCAGACAGATATTTGACACAAATATTATGGCCCATAAGACTTAATTCAGTATGTTACCCTCGTTGATACCCTTGCATACACAGTATACTCAACCTTGCTGATTAAAAAAGGGGTATACTCAACCTAGTTATCTGAATCATAGAATATTTTTTATTCCCTGTTCTCAACAATACTTTCTTAGTAATAATAGGCTCACCCCATTTTGTATATTTTAGGGAAGGAGCTGGGGATTGTAGTTCATGTGTAGCTGTTATGTTGGAGCTTGCTCGGGGAATTTCTCAATGGGCTCATGGATTTAAGAATTCAGTCATATTTTTATTTAATACTGGTGAAGAGGAGGGCTTAAATGGTGCTCATAGCTTTATAACTCAGGTTTGGGCCATTTAAGGTGTATCTAATTGTTCTTAGTTTGATTTGTTTATTAATTTCTTTTTCTAGTTTTTATCGTCAATCTTTTCCTTAAAACTAGCTTGAGTGGTTGAAGGGCATCTTCTTCTTTAATAGGTAATATTAAAAGAGCTGATATTCGTGTATTGCAAACTCTCTCTCTCTCTCTCTCTCTCTCTCTAGAATTAAGGCTGAAAATAATAGTTTGTGGCAACCAAACCAAACTAATTCATTTTATGTTTTTTTTTTTTTTTTCTTATTTGGCAAACCCTTTCCCTAACTAAGCCTTTAAATATATATATATTTTTAATGAGTTTTTAATATTCCTAGATCTCAACATGTTTAATTATTTAATTATTGAGAATTTATTAACATTCTTAGTTTTTGCCTCCAAATATTGTGATACATCTTCAAATTCTTTTTGTCATTTCTCTTATGTTTTTGAAATGTTTCTCTTTCCAAGTTGACTGAAACAACATAGTATAACAAAATTTTGACCCTTGAGAGAAGTTGATAATCATATAATATGTAATACATATCTATTTCCTTTAGGTATGCACATATATTTATGGTTTGCTAATCTACTTCAGCTTTGAAGCTGGTTAGCATTCTCCTAGTCTTTTAAGGGAAAAAATGTTATTCTTTTTGCTTCTTTAACTATTTAACTGTGGGTCAGACAGTCCAAACTATGAGAAACACAACCCAGTTGATATACCCCCCCCCCCCCCCCCCTTTTTCTTTCTTTTAAAGGCCTTTGGTCATGAACTTCTGCAGATTCTCTCTCTCTCTCTCTCTCTGGCCTTGCAGTTACCAGCATCACCAATTGCTACAGCTTCATTGTCACCATCAGCCATCACCTCCATAACCACCTAAATCACCTGACATCTCAATGGCACCTAAATCAATAGCTTCCTTTGTTTACATTCTCTTCCAAGTCAACTTTATTGAGGTTATATCAGGATGAGTGGTACCATAAATATAATTTGTGAGTGCTGGAATGAGAAAGGAAAGTTTTTTGGGAAAACATCAACATTGGTGGTTTGTTGCAGACATGACAGTGGGGAAAATACTAGGGTAAGGATAATTTGATTTTACATACGCTTGCTGACAGTGGGGATACTGTTTTTTCCCCTTTTTTTGGTAAGTATGCATGGAATCCGTTTGTTGAGTTATAACTATTGTCTTTCTTTTGATTATACTTTTTCTTTGATTATGAGAACTTTCATAAGGGCACATTGTAGGTGTATAGGGTAAATTATGAAAATGGTCCATGTAGTTTACACGATATGTCAATTTGGTCTATGTTGTTTTAATTTGCTCGATTTTGCCGTTTAATTTAATGGATTGTGTCATATTGGTCTAATAAATAATGGCTGTTAAGTTTGGTGAATAGAAATTCAAATGATGTGTCAATTTGGTTCCTGTAGTTTACACGATGTGTCAATTTAGTCTCTGTTGTTTTAATTTGGTCGATTTTGACAGGGTCCAAATTAACATATCGTGTAAACTATAGGGGCTCAATTGACATATCGTTTGAGTTTCCGTCCACCAAACCTAACGACCGTTATTTATTGGACCAATATGACACAATCCGTTAAATTAACGGGTAAAATCGAGCAAATTAAAACCACAGAGACCAAATTAACAAATCGTGTAAATTATAGGGGACTATTTGCATAATTTACCCAAAAATTATGTTTAATGTAGCTCAATTTTTGTGAAAAGCATGCAAATTCAAGTGAAACCCAGTATTTCATATGATGTAGTATAACTTTATTTTATGAACGCAGCATCCATGGAGTGATACTATTCGTTTGGCTATTGACTTGGAGGCCATGGGTATTGGAGGGAAGTCTGGCATATTTCAGGTCTGGGTCATGAATTACCAATATATACATTTATGTTTTACTTCTTTCCTTTTCCTTTTCCTTTTCCTTTTCCTTTTCCCTCTCTCTCTCTCTCTCTATATATATATATATACATGCCCGTGTAAATAAGATTGCTTGTGATTAATCTGAACTTTCGTCAGTTGGCCTTGGGTGGTCTCAGATGATTGTACTTAGTTGATAATAGATCATTTGATCTGGAAGCATAAGTTGCCTCCCTATTTGTTGGCTAATTGCTAAGCTACAATCTAGGAAACGTACAAAACACTGATTGACTTATCTATTCTAATATGTTCCTAGGTTATTCATTTAGTTCATATTTACGTTGAATAGTCCCCTTTTTCTTAATGTAAGTGGCATGCACCAAGCGTGTGAGTGTATAGTGGAAGTGTCTGTATCTTGTAAGTTGTAACTAACTATGATCATTTGTAACTAAATATTTTTGGGATTGCTTCAAGGGCTTCTCGCTCTAGAGTTTCTAGAGTTTCCCTCTCTACAATTCTCTCTTTGATTCTTGATTCCATCATTTTTCTTTTCATTGAGAACCCGTTGTAGACAAAATGATAAGCAATGCTTTCTTTATGTATTATATACGGCTTATGATCCCATTACCTGTTGAGCAAAGTTGTTTTTTTTTTTTTTTGGTTTTTTTTTTCTTCCCCTTTTCCCTTACTTTTCATTCTTCATTTTTACAGGCTGGTCCTCATCCATGGGCTATCGAAAACTTTGCCATTGTGGCAAAGTATCCATCTGCCCAAATCGTTGCACAGGTCTGTAAAGTCCTACTTTTTTAGAAAGATCATATTATCGTAGAAATATGGGAGTTCCTTACAAGAGTGTCTCGAGATATAATCATCTTTCCTTCAGTTCTGTACCAGAACATACGTTTCAAGTGAATTTTAGTGCCGCAGGATGTTTTCACTTTTGGAGCTATAAAATCTGCAACGGATTTTCAAGTGTACAAAGAGGTTGCAGGTCTTTCAGGGCTTGACTTTGCATACTTAGATAACACTGCTGTATATCACACAAAGGTTATCATCGCTATTCATTTGAATTTATATACTATTAAATCCTTCCTATATTCTAGCAGTGGATGTTGTAAACATACTATACTCGGTCAAATTACCAACACATTTTGCTGAGTCAGAAATCACAAAGATTGTGCTTCCCCTTTAACTACTTTGATCCGAAGTACAAATCGTAGTCATCAAAGTTGTGCCCAGTTGTGAATCTCATAATTTGACTTTACATGGGATTTCATGTTTTTTTCTTTGACCTGTAAATGATATAGGTGTTAGACATATATTGGAAAACTGTTCAGGTGTTTTTGTAGATGGCACTTCTATGAACAGTGGTATACTGCATTCCACATTTTGGTAAATCAATAGGTAACACAGCATGCCGCAATGTGCTGCTGTTTGAGGTGGCATTTTTTGATAGATGTGCATGGGGCAGGTGGATACCTAAAATTCTTGCTTTGGATTCAGTACGTTGGCCAGGAGAATTGTTCTAGCGTTTGTTAAGCTATATTTTGATGACTTAAAAAGTTAAACTCCTATTTAGGATTTATAAGAACATCAATCAGCATACAATTTAAAGTTGTCTCAGTAGATGGTAACATTGTGGCATCTGGGTGGATCAATGTTATTAAAGGCACACCTAGGCCCAAGGCTCGCAGTCAATGCGCTTCGGAACATCTCAGGCCGGGCAATGTAAAACAGGCCCCACAAAGGTGCATGAAGCGTGCGCTTTGGGCTTAGGCTCAAAGTCACAGAACTTGTGCGCTTCTTTTAAAATTTTTGTTTATTGTTTATTACAATTACTACCCTTAATTTAGTTTATCTCATTGCCTTTTTGTTTACATGCTGCTACAAGGGATTCAACCCTTAAACATACATTGCCACCCAACACTTTTTGAGCCTTAAATTATACAAAGACGTTGGTTGGATAGAGTTTTCTCTTTGACCAGACTAACAATTGTCTTTATTCTTCTTCTTCATCTCCTCAATTTGCTTCTCTTGGAAGACACTTCTATTTTGTCACTATTTTCAAATGTTTAAGATTTATGAGTTAGATGATTGTGTTTATGTGCAACCTTGAATTATTTGCATATGATAAAATATTGTTTGTTAATATTTATGTTTAAAATATTTAATATTACATTTTATTTGTGTTAAACCTTGAATTATTTTCTTATATTAAATTATCTATTTATCATCAGCATGAGCCTCACTTAAATGAAATCCACGCTTCACCTTGTGCCTTGAGCCTAGGCCCTAGGAAACCTTGGCGCTTCAATGTGCCTTTAATAACACTGGGGTGGATGACATGGGTTCTGCCCTTATGATGGAGAGGAGAATGTACACATGTAGTGCTTGGAATGCAGAGGCGGAAAAAGAGAAACTGAATTTTAAAGCAAAAATTGTTTTGTGTACTTGTTATTGTTAATTTTTTTTCCCCTTTAATTTGAACTAGAAAACAATCGAATGCTCACTAATCAAAAATACAAATACAAAAATAAAACAAAATTTTAAAAATCTAAGGAACCTCTTTTGAAACGTTGGACAACTTGTAGAATGACTTGAAGTGATTAATAAGTCTAAAGGTGTTGCAGCGTATAATATCTTTAGGCAAGGCAATTTTAGTTGTCTTATGTAATTTACTCTGAATATATGAAACTCTTTCTACATGCAGAATGATAAATTGCAGCTTTTGAAACCGGGTTCACTTCAGCATCTTGGAGATAATATGCTTGCATTTCTGGTTCATGCTGCTGCATCCTCTCATATTCCTAATGGCAAGGAAATGGATGCATTTCAAAAGACTGGCCAGGACACTGCTATATTTTTTGACATTTTGGTACCCTTTTGAACATTGAAACTTGATTATTGTTCTTGACTTGACCTTTTGTCTTCTTCTTGACCACTATTTTCATTCTGCTGGGAAATTTTACTGCTTTGAAATCAAGTTTGTATTGATGTCATTTTCTATCGCTTGTGTAATGCCAATTCTCAGGGGACGTACATGATTGTTTACCATCAACGTTATGCCAGTATGCTTTATAATTCAGTGATAGTGCAATCACTTTTGATATGGATGACATCACTGCTAATGGGTGGTTATTCAGCTGCGATATCATTGGCCTTGTCATGTTTGAGTGTTATCCTTATGTGGATATGTTCATTAAGTTTCTCCACTCTTGTTGCCCTTATTTTACCACACATATCTTCATCACCAATGCCCCTTATTTCAAGTCCATGGTTGGCAGTTGGTCTATTTGCTGCTCCTGCTCTCCTTGGGGCATTGATTGGCCAACACTTTGGCTATCTCATTCTCCAAAAATATTTATTGGATGTATCTTCCAGAAGAAGAAGGACTCTGTCTACCGTCGTTCAAGCTGATTTGGCCAAGTTGGATGCTGAAAGATGGCTCTTTAAAGCTGGTTTGGTGCAGTGGCTTGTTCTACTGATAATGGGAAATTATTATAAGATTGGCTCTTCCTATTTACCTCTTGTTTGGCTAGTCTCACCTGGATTTGCATGTAAGTTAAACATTACAAGCATTATAGCCTGGGTAGTGAAAATAGGAACATGGTTGTCTGGCTACTACATAATATGATGTGTTAGACAATAGACACCATGATTTCATATGAGAGATGAATTGTGATACAAGTATGGTCACATGAACATTCAATCAAAAAAAAAAACAAAACAAAAAAGGTCATATGAACAGATGTCGGGCATGTCAGATCTGGACATGTCCAACACTTCTACAAGGCTAATTAAACTTTTCTTGTAAAGGTAGCTCTTTTATTCACAAGTTGGGTTTCAATATTTTGTTGTTCTTTTCTTTCGACTAATTCTATATTCTGGAATATCTAGATGGTTTGCTTGAAGCAACCTTATCCCCAGCCCGGTTACCGAAGCCACTCAAGACTCTGACTCTGTTGATGGGCCTATCTTTACCCTTTTTAATTTCTGCTGGCATGTTTATTCGGATGGCAGGCTTAATAATTGGCAGTGCAGTTCGGTTTGACAGGTAAAAATGGTGCCATTTTGTGAAACCTCAAATACTCTTCTAAAATTGGGTCACTGTGTTTCAAATCAATTTATATATTTTTTTTATTTTATTATTTGTTCATGTTCTTGTCAATTTAGCCTCACAGTAATATTGTGTTGATGTAGAACTAGGTACAAAAGAAAAAAGAAAATGCCTTAGACGTCATGGGTGTATTGTTTGCTCTTCTTTCGTTAATTATGCCATATTCAATCATACTCAAGTCAACGATTTGGTATATGGAATGAATTACCACTTAAATTTGATTGGGATTTATGATGTTTTGTTTGGTGTATCAGTTTTTGCAAAAGAGTAGGTTCACAATGCTTGTGTAAAATGAATAAGATTTAAGATTCTTTAGATGTCAATCATAATACAGTGTCCATGCTTTTTAATGCATGATATATCTCGAAGATGTTAAGGGTAAATATCACTCTAGCAGTCCTTGTGGTTTGACCTTTGTGTCATTTTGGTGGTGAAATTCAAATTGTGTACATAAAACTGTGACAATTCATTTTTGCTGCAATGTGGACCTTCCTTCTGGTTTTGTCAGAAATCGTAGCAGAAAATGGTTACATGGGCGCTTGTATGCATTGCTTATATATGCGCAAATGGAATATACATGGACGAAAGTGACACAAAAGTCAAACCATAGGAACTGCTGGATGTGAAAGTACGAGAACAAAGTAACAAAAGTCAAACCATAGGAACAACTAGAATGGGGTGCGCCCCCATCAGGCAGTGCATGTGTGCATCACATAGTTATTTTTCTGTCAGCTTTTCTAACGATACCAGATGGAGGGTCAACTTCGCAACAAATATGAACGCACCAGGTTTTATGTATGTGAATTGAAACCGCGGAGACCAAATATGTACATGGACTTGGATACGGGTGTTGGGTGTGGGTGAGGGGCGGGTGCATTTCTAGAGGTTGGACCCATTAAATATCAGATTTAAGGGTACACAGACTCGGCAACAAATGATCATATTTTTATATTTTTAATCTATTTTGTAAGATAAAATGGTGTTATATGTAACAGACCTTGTCCAAAAGACATTACACTCATTTTATAGCAATTACACAACAGTATATACATATAATGGTAGTGTTAAATTCAAATATATAAAAAGTGTCTGATGTAAAGTGTCGACATATCCCATACCCTTGTCTAAGTATCAGGTGTCTTACACGGGTATTTGATATATTTTGAAGAGTCGTTGTAACATACACTTGGGCTACCACAAAGGATGCTGCAATAATTTACCCAAATTTGAATCCTAATATAGTGCCCATCATAGGTTATACTTACAGTTCCAGGCTTCCAGCTATGAAGATTTTGTATGTCACCTTTATGTGAAACAATGCTCCATAGAAAATTAAAGGGTAAATTAAACTTACACTCCTTGAGGTTTGGCTTTAATACACCCTGATCTTTTGTTAATTACAATGACCCACCTGTCAGAGGTTGTTGGTTAACCTCCTTAACGAAAAATTAAAATGACTTTAATGCCCTTACATGTCATCTTTTTGAAATGGACTAGGCATGGAACTTCCTATCTACCCCACCCTCCATTCACAACCCATCTCTCCCCCTTCACCACTGACAACTTTGGTCCATACTCTCTAAAGCTTTTCATCAAACATGAGAGGGACACAAAAGCCCCAATTCCACCACTAAAAGCTAAATAAAGTTAAAAAAGCAAGCGGCCTATGACAAACAAATTAGAGAGAAATAGATGCAATGTAAAGATTGTTGATTTTGTAGAAGGGACCCAGGTTGTCGGTTCCACCGTCGCAATCCATCAAACAAATTAATCGATGATATTGGCAAATGGTGTTAGCTAACCTAACGGTTAGTTAATGGAGGGGGCAATAAATTTTAGGGAGGGAAATGTAATTTTCATAACGTCGGGGAGGTATCTGTATTAAAGCTAAACCTCGGGGGGGGGGGGGGGGGTCTTTTTTTTTTTTGTATAATTTGCCCAATATTAAAATATAAAAGAACTTTGATTGGGGGAGGATTATTTACATTTTTGGTGAAACATTAAGTATGGTGGAAGGACATTGAAATCTTTTTGTTTTTTCAGAAGCATTCAAAGGGATTTTCATCCATAATTTACTTTTTACTCTTAGAAAGTAAAGTATTTGTGTTAAGTGTAATCAGTCCTAGTTGTGCTTGCTAATTGCGTATCTAATATACTATACAAAATAATTGAGATATTAAACTACAGTTCCTATTGCTGTTCCATTGTTTACTTGTTTGTTGTCGTTTAGAATGATAGCTAAAAGTCTTCTTTTATGTTTCTAACAATTTGATAATTCTTTACTAGTTCTAACAATCGATTTGACTGTAACTGTTAGAATTTTGTGAAAATTGTTGGCTCATTGTTGTGATTTTGTAGCACAACTTTTGTTTTACGTAGATAGATTTGATAAATCATTGTTCCCATGTGGATTTTCTTATAATTATGTGAATCAGTTCATGCAAACATATGAAATTATAGGCGATTAAATATATTCAAAGTTGTATTCTAAGAAATATAGATTGTCAATGGATCTTGACCTTTTGCATTCCTTCAAAATGTAACATCCAATTAAATGTCATTTATAAAAGTTTAAAAATATTGAATATGTAAATTCACATACAGTGTTTTCCTGAATTTTTCTGAAACTTGAAATTTTGCAATCAAAGACAATTCGTACTGCTTATTTGTTCTTCGTAGCTCACATATATTACTCAGTGGTGCTTTTTGTGTCCATAAATATGTTATATGTACTTGAATGCCATATTGTGATGCAGAGCCCTTGTATGGCAGAATTTTCTGCAGTCTTTCTCTGCCTTGTGAATCCTAATGATTTAACAGTCCTGATAAGCATTCCATCCCTTTAATAAAAAAATTAAAAAAAAAATCATTTTTGAGTTGAAGAAACATTTATTTTTGATAATGAGGACTAATCTTGCCTCTTATGTGCAGGAACCCTGGTAGCGCCCCTGAGTGGCTGGGGAATGTAATACTTGCTATATATGTTACCAGCATCATATGTCTGACGTTGGTGTATCTCCTTTCATTTGTTCACTTTTCAGGTTTCCATTTAATTATGTTTTCTTTGGACAAGATATGGCATCTGTTTAATAAAAATGGATATTTCTATTTGTTGGGGGTTGTAATGGATCAATATTTAGATAAGTTTACAATATTCAAACTATGAAACTGCTACAAGTGATATCTTGGTTAGTTTGTGGTCTAAAATAATGGGTGATCATTATGGCATGTAATGGGATGCATCTTTGTGTGTGTGTGTGTGTGTGTGTGAGAGAGAGAGAGAGAGAGAGAGAGAGATTCTGGTTATGGACTATGGATCCATATCATTCTGCCTTGAACTGGCTGTATGCAGATCGCGGATTATCTAATACGATGAGCCCAATCTGCTCCAACTTAGAGCATATCATTAATTTGTGCTGCTTTAGTAGCTTTTAACAGTTTCAAAAATGGCCATTTAAAGTCTTGCTACTACAAGCAACATGGCAAGGTACGTGTGGAATTTGGAAAAAGGTTTTTGGATCCAAACTGGTTGACTTCGCATACTCAAGATTGGAACTTGTCCTATTGCAAGGGTTCATCTGGAAGCATTGACACAGCTTTGGTCAAAACCCAGGTCAAATCTAACTGCCTTACCAAACATCTGCTTCTACTTTAGGAACCCATTGCATCACACAGCCCATTGAAAACATATAAAATATAATTGTTAATACATATATAGGAAAGAAATGCACAAAATGTAGATTGAGAAAAAATGAATTTTCATCCCTTGAGTAGGTTGAGAATTTTTTAATTTGAATTGGTTAACAAATTCCTCGACCTACGCGATTCATTTGTTGCATAAGTTGAGTGATTTGGCTCAGTGGCAAGGAATATCAAGAAAGGGTCTAATCCAATGTATTCTATGCTCTGATCCTAGACATGAAATGATAGTGTCCATGTAGTATTTATTGACTGTTTGGTTAATTGGTCAATTATTGGCCTCAGAACCACAGAAATGCAGCAATTAAAAAGCTATTGACATGGCAGTGCATGAAAGATAATGGCAGGAGTGGTAGTCGTTCAATCACTTGATAGCAAAACTGGTAATCAACATTGATTGAACCTCAGCCTAGAAATTGCACCCATATTTATCTGTTGATGGCTCCTATGGAACTATATTTTATCACTTCAATGCCATAGTCGTCATGTTTTCCTATAGCTCTTGTCAGTGCACAATTAGTATATTTTCTTCAACTGGTAAATGCAGTTTCACTTATTTGTATAATTTATCCCAGGTGCAAAAACATTAATCACCCTCATAACTTGTACTGTGTTTGGTCTCTCACTTGCTGCTGTATTATCTGGTATCGTTCCGCCATTTACTGAAGATACTGCCAGAACTGTAAATGTAAGTATCCTTCAGTCCTTGGCATCAATACTAAGTTATTTGTACAGAGTATTAACATGAAATACAGTTCCATTAAGTCCCACAATGTCAGTTTATGAATTAACAAGATCATTGCAAAACTAGTGCCAATTAGATATCTTACAATTGTCCAACTTATGTGACATTTAAATTGTGGAACTTTCTAGATTTTCTACCAACTAAACTCTTTAATCGATTCAAGTTGGTCTATATGTTTGCGGAGGCGTCTTTCTTGTATGGGATCATGGGCTTCCTTTTCCATATATTTAGTGCATGTTTAAATATGTTTGCAACGTATTGTTGGACATTGATCACAATCCATGACTGTCTGTTTATATCCCCCTTTCATAACAAAGGACCTGAGTGCAGCTCTCCAAAACTTGTGCTTAATAGAGAAGTAAATTCAAGTTTCAAGAATATATCATCTTCATCTTCCCTTATTACAAGAGCATAACTTGTAGGTTACCCTGTTAAATTAGTTGAGACGTGATGCAACAAAAAATGAGTTTTGGTAATGTTTCCATGATCATGTAGTCTGCTGAATGACATAATTCTGGTAGAGTTAGGGGTTAGCTTCTGGGACTCTCTCTACTTTTATTGCTTGTAGTATGAAGTAGTTCTTGTTTACTATTTATCAACTTTTGTGAATGTTTCATTATCCACATTTCTTTGTCTGTCAGAGTCAGTTATCTTTGTCTGATTTTCCTTAAGGGTGTGTTTGTTTTGAAAGATTAGGAGATGGGATTGGACTATTAGTCCCACCGGACTAATAGTCCATTGTTTGTTTCATTTTTTTTGCTCTCTGGACTATTAGTCCCACAAATATGGGACTATCCTATCCCATGGGGGGTGGGATAGAAACCAAGGGATTGGTACCCCATGGGATTATTTTGCGAAATGTCCATTTTACCCTCCATGCTATTGCTTAGCAAACAATTAGAAAATGATAAAATAGTCTTTTGAACATTTATAAATTATTTTTTTAGTGTTGTTAATTTAAAATTATATATTAAATAAAAAATTTAAATTATACATTAAATTTAATTAAAAATAATAAATTATAAATTATGGCCTTATAAATTAAATTTTTTTAGTGTTGTTGAAAATTTAATTTATATTAAATAAATTTTTTTTTATTGTCATTAATTTAAAATTATATATTAAATAAAAAATAAAAAATATAAATTATAAATTTAATTTAATTGAAAATAATAAATTAAAATAATTAAAATATTGTGCAAAAAATAAAATAAAACAAATTTTTATTTAATCTAGCTAAAAATAATTAAAATATTAAAGCTATGTTTAATATTACAATTACTTAGTAAATAATTGAAAAGGATAAAATAGTCATTTGAGCATTTATCCTTCTCCATAATATCTCAAACAAACATTGGATAACTAAAAATAATCCAATCTAAGCATCTAATCCTACGACTAAACAAACATAGGATACAAATTTAGTCCAACCAAATAAGCCCGGGACAATGTATCCCAGGACTAATAGTCCGATGGATTACAATCCCCCTTATCCAGTCCGTCCAAACAAATGCACCCTTAAATGTATTTTATCTAAATTATGATTTCCCTTTTCTGTGATGCAGAGACTATAAGCCAATTTTTCTGTCTTAGATGAGTCGAATAACTAAAAACTATTGCGCCAGGATCACATTTTTAATTACGGAAAAGTTGGCTAATTTTAGTCTTACATACCATGGAGGATGGATTTGTCTCCACAGATAGATAGCAAGATGGAGCACTTGATCCCTTGTAAGAGAAACCCAGTGTCAGAGATCCTCCCGACCTAATTTGGTCGGGATGACCCTCTGACGATCAAGTTAGTAACTAGATCGGACATGGAAAGATAATATTAAATGTATTCTTGTTGGTTAGTTGTGTGTAACTGTAGTACTGCTGGGTCCTTCTTTTATAGCCAAATAGTGTGCAACTAGCAGTTGGTGTAGGCCGTATGATATCCTCTTTTTCATCAGATGGCTGTTCCTTTGTTAATAGTCATTTCTCAAATGGTCGGCTGGATTGCACTTGTTTTGGTTGATCTTGATTGGTATCATTGTGTTTTCCCTAGCCGTACAAGACTTGGTCTTGGGCTTTGGGCATTCCTCTCATTTGGGCCCGTTGGGGCTAAAAACCGCTTGGGCCGAATTCTTACTCCCCACGCATACATATGTAATTATGTGTGTATATAGATACCGTTTAATTACCTGTCATTTAAACGACATGGCTAGCCAAAAAGGTTTGACCTATGATTTTTTGAGAGAGTCATTTCTGTTCCAATATAAAATTTCTTCTGCTGGTAACCCCACAGAATACTGATGAAAGGACATGTGTATCTATGTGGACTTTTTATCATTAAAATATTTGTATGGTTTTGTTTAATTTCCATTGCATTCAAGCAAGAACATTATAGGACAAAATATTGAAGAAAGTATTCATTTAAGAACATTTTTGAAAGATGAAGGCATAATTCAGGTGTTCTTCTTTCTGCACAGAACTTTTTTTTTTCGGGTTACACTTTCTGCCCATTTTTAAAGTAACCCTTGGCAATCCTTTTGTTAGTAGTGACACAAGTTTGCTCAAAGTATTGTTAATTAGGAGGAAGAAGTGTTTGTCATATATGTGGTTTACCTTAACCTAATCATCATTCAATTTTCTGGGCTTCCGCTATATTATCTGTTTTTTGCCTCGGTACTATCATGTTCTAGTTTGTGTTCAAATTATTTCTAATTTTGGGCACAATCTTTTAATCATTGTTGATTCTATTGCCAAACTGTATTTCATCAGCAGTGTGAACATCTGATTAAGTATCTTAGAAAAACTAGGTGTAATTTCAAATGTTTTATGTTTTTCAGGTTGTGCATGTTGTGGATACAAGAGGAACATATGGTGAAAAACAAGAGCCTAGTTCTTATGTTTCTCTGTTTTCAATGACTCCTGGAAAGTTGACGAAGGAAGTTGAACAGATTGGAGAAGGATTTGTTTGTGGTAGAGATAAGGTCATTGACTTCATTACCTTGTCAGTAAAATATGGTTGCTTGACCAAAGATAATGTGGGAAGTGGGTGGAGTGAATCAGAAATTCCCACACTGCATGTCAAGAGCGATATAAATGGGGATGACAGAATTACACAAATTTTCATCGATACAAAAATTTCCACACGCTGGACTCTTGCAATCAATACTGAGGAAATAGAAGACTTCAAGTTTAAAGGTATTGTAGATACTAGTAAAATTCTTTCCTTGTTCTTTGCCCACTCTTAATTTTTAGATTTTTTGTGTTAATGACTGAAATACCATCTGTTCTTTCCAAAACATGCTTGGAGCCTCCTCAATCCTCAAGAGTAAACATTGCTAATGGTTTTGTGTGCAAATACTTGGAAAAACCCTAAGTTTAACACAACTTAGACAGGACTGTAGTTTTGGATAAATTGTGTTTATTTTGACATGAGGAATAGACTAAGGTTAAGTTTGGCATCTTCAAAAAAAACTAAAAAGTCAAAAAGTCACTATCCTGTTTAAATCGCATCATCTTATTTAAGTCACTTCACTTCTCTACCACATCACTTCAAACCCAACTCATATTTCATAAAAAGTCAAAAAGTGCACTTATTTAGAACATCTCAAACAACCCCTAAGTTCTTGAATTTTCTGTAGCATGCTCAAGTAACCATTAAATGAGGCTCAAGTCTCCTCAATTCATGGTCCACATGTCCATTGATTTTTAGTAGATCAAATATGCCAAATTTATTCCATCAATTCTTTTGAATTCTTTAATTATTAGATTTCAATATATTTGGGAAAAATACTATACATATATCCCTGTTTTTTAGTGATTTATTTGCATAATGAGAATTCATGGAGTAGGTTCTTTAGTACTTTTACTAAACTAAAGGGCACAACGGTAGTTAAGAATTTGAGGGGTAGTCCCAGTCTATGTTACCTAGAACATGGATCGTTCCGGTAACGTCGAACGAGAATGGAAACATGGTACGTTACATGCTCTAAAATGTGATACGATAGAAGTAAACTTGTATATATTATTACACTAAAGAATTTACGATATTTAAGGAGTAATTTTCTTTTAACTATTAGGTATCCAATAAAATGTTTTTATTTATTTATTTATTTATAATTTTGATATTTTTGTTTTGTTAAAACTTAACTCCCCTTAGATTTTAGTTCATTATATTTGATTTTTTTTCCTCCTAAGGTAACACTTAAGGAAATATATTGGAAAAATTTTTTGGGATCACTAAATTTACCGTTTTGTAATGGAAGTGTACCATGTTTCTGAAACGTGTGTATCAATACGTTATTTGTTAGGGTATTAGCCTTTTTTGGTAACATAGGTCCAAGTGCAAACATGAAAAACAAACATGTTGGTTGGTGGGGAGAACTGATGAATGTTGACAAGGAAGGATACAAATAATTCGGGGAGTTGATCTGTCTTTTTTGAGTTAATGATTGAAACACCATCTGTATTTTCCGATACATGCTAGAAGTCCCCTCAATTCCCTTAAGTAACAGCCTATTTTTTTTAAACTTAAAGAACCCTTCGTGTTTAATAGAATTTATATTATCAGAAAATATTAATACCCCAGTGACCGATTTATGTTTCAGAATGCGTTTTGAAACATTGTACACCTTCATGCGCATAGCGATAAAAAGTAATCCCCGAAGTTTTTCTCTATATGCTTATTAGGAGAGAAAAAAATCAAATACAATAACTAAAATTTAGAAAGAGTGGAGCTTTGCAACACAATGTTAAAAAAAATGGAATGTGCTTTTATATGATTAATAGGAAAAATGATAGACCATGTTTTATTGGATGCTTAATACTTGATATAAAATTTGCTCTCACGTTTAGAGGTACCTTACATTCTAGTAATGTGATATATATAAGCCTCCGACAATATAGGGCATGTGGTTTATCATGTTCTTGCTAAAATGACCTATAATCCAGATGACAAAGAACACAACTTAAACCGGCCTATAGTTTTAAGATGAATTGTGTGAATTTTAACACGAGGAATATGCTATTTCTTGAATTTTATGTAGCATAATCAAGTGATTAAATGACCTATCAAACTTATCACCGGGGGTGGGAGGATATGGGTATTAGGATTTCAGTTTCTGTGGTATACAATGCATCAGTGCATTTGTAATACTTGGGACTAGCTTATCAGGCATCACCCTTTCATACTATTTGTGTCATCATCGTCATCATTATTGTTGTCATCATTGTGGTGCCTTGTCCCTCTCTCAATTTATTTTTGAATGCAGAAATTCAAAAAGAAAACTCAGCGGAGTTGGTTCCAGTGGGTGACAAGAGCAGTGTAGATGGATGGCACATCATCCAGTATTCAGGCGGGAAGAATGCGCCTACAAGGTTTGATCTGACCCTTCACTGGATTAAAAATTATACCAAAGTGGCGCGAGAGGATGGGAAGAGAACGGAGGACCAGCATCTCCTCCTAAAATTGAGAACAGACGTTAACAGATTGACGCCGAAAGCTGGAAAAGTTCTCCAAAAGCTTCCTTCGTGGTGTTCGTTATTTGGCAAGTCAACGTCTCCCCGTACCTTAGCTTTCTTGAGCAGTCTACCAGTTCATTTCTAGGTATCAAAAATTTTCATACCTCCTCTCGCGTCTTGCCTTTGTTGTTGGTAAATCTGAATTATGAAATTGTATATGCAGAGATGGAATGGCCTTACCATGTACTGGTAAACTAAGAGGGTGTTTAGGATGCTCTAAATAAGTTTACTTTTTTATTTTTTACAAAAAAATAAGTAAAAAAGTAGTGAGGTGATTTAACCAAAAAATGAAAAATAAAAAAAAAAACATATACTTTTTGTAAGGGATGTTAAATAGTGCCTAAGTCACTAATTTGATCAAGAAACTTTTTATTTTTAATTTTTTATTGCTGCTTTGTAATAATTGGTCAAGATGTGATGATGTTCTTTTGTAGTTTCCACTGAAAAAATTGTTTAAGCTTGCCTTAACAAGCTGACTAAACTTTTTTATTTTTATCTTTATTTTGATGTCCTAACTGAAAACATAAAAGCAATTAAAAAATTTCGGTGAAAGCTATAGTAGTAGTTTTTCATAATTTTGTCATTGCACTTGTATCCTTTTCATCAATAATTCACATAACACTTAAATTCTTTTCATCAATAATTCATTAGTGCATTGATAGAAAAATGCTGGATGGATAGTAATTAAAAAATTTCAGTGAAAGCAATTAAGGTTTTAATTTGCATAACATAACACTTAAATCCTTTTCATCAATAATTCATTAGTGTATGGATAGAAAAATGTTCTTGGTCATTTCTTTTGCAAAAAGTTAGTCAAAAGTCTTTTGACATAATTGTGTAGATTATTGATTAGTGTATGGATAGAAAAATGTTCTTGGTCATTTCTTTTGCAAAAAGGTAGTCAAAAGTCTTTTGACATAATTGTGTAGTGTTAAAAGGACAAGTAAATATTTTTTTAATGTATTAGAGCCATTGGAGCTGCTATTGCATTGGCAGCTCCAGCACTCCAATGGCCATAAATAGCAACTGTTATATTTGAGAAATGCCAAGCTTGTGTCAAATTTGACACAAGCTTTGGCAGCTGCTATTTGTTTCAAATTATCAAGAAACATCTCCCTCCTTTCTTCTCTCCTCCAAGCAAAACATCCCTCCTTCCATCTCTCTCCAGCTCACCATTTTTGCAGAAGAAACACTGAAAACACCAATTTTTTGTGCCAAAATGACAAAAATGACAGTTGAACCATTGGAGTACCATTGCTATTTTTCATTCATTTTCTACTATTCATTGCCATAATTTAGCAATGGCAATGCTATTATAGCATTTGTTATTGGAGATGTTCTTAGGTCCTGTAAAATTTACTTATCGGGGATTAAGGACAATTTAGTGAAAAATTATCTTTCATGGACTTGTATTACAATCGACCTATAAGATATTCTTATATTCTAGTAAGTCTTATACATTTGGACTTGTGTTCTGCCAAATCATTTTCCCCATATTGGAGATCTTTTGTGGATTATTTTACCCTTACAGATATTTTATGAGAGAAATTCACAATATATACGATATATACATATCTCCTATGCCACATCTTCAACGGCAGCATTGAACTCTCTGACACCATCTAAGAGATGGTGTATTATATTATTTCTGTAGTGGATGAAAAATGACACATTATTCTGCAGCATAAGGGGAGATTAAGGTTAAATATGTGTAGTGTTATAGAGTTATATATGTTCTATCTGATCTCATAATGTGAACATCCACATTTTGGGTTGGGAGAGTGTATTAATTATATTGTTTCTTTAGTGGATGAAAAATGACATATTATTCTGCAACATAAGGAGAGACTAAGGTTGAATACGTGTTGTGTTATAGAGTTATGTATGTTCTATCTTATCTCATAATGTGAACATCCACATTTTGGTTTTATTTATAGAAGGCTAAATGTACACACAATGAGCCATAATGTTCAACATTTAGAATGACAACAATCAAACATGACACAAATGCTTGAAATCATAATGTGAGCATTCACATAAGTCGCAATGACACAATGAACACAATGATTACTTTCAAAACACAAAATTATAATGTGAACATTTACAACAGACAGGTTGTGAACACAATGAAAAAAATTGTAAGCATATCACATAAAACCATGATTACCTTAAGCATAACTATGATATGGATATTCACATGAGCCATGTTGAGAACAAAATGAAATAATGCGACAATATCACATGAAATTGTTGTTGCTATACTGTTCACAGTTCATATAAATGTAAATATGGAATAAATTGTCAATAATGGGGATTGCAGAGTGTGAACATTCACATGACACAAATAATCACAAAATATCATCAGAAATAGTGAAATACATGGTTTGAACATTCACACGACATAGACAATCACAAAATATAATCACAAATAGCCAAATACATGATGTCAACATTCATATCATAAATAATGTGTACATTCATACATTGTTTGGTAGTACAAAAATATCAGACAATCAAATGAGGGCACAAACAAAGCAACTCACGTTGTCTACAATGCAATCAATGTGTATTTTTCTATTTTCTAACAACGCAATCAATGTGCGTTTCACATCGCGTCAATGCTGTCTATACTCTTAGATACAAAAACGAAAGTGGTTTCCAAAATAATAACAATATGAATATGAATAACATGAATTTAAAATTAGATTGCGATAAGATCATTAATCTCCTGTATCGGTTTAGTGTGAATGTTCACAACGAGGAAGGGCTTCGGTTGCCGGCGACACAACGAAGACAACTTATAGAGGAAGACGACGCTACGAAGTCAGTCGTGGATGATTGCAAGGACACAATGGAGTGATTTTCAATTTCTGCGGAATTTAGGGAAAAAAATGAAGTAACGTTTCCTCTATTGGTGTGGGACTTTTTGAAACCGAAAACATGCGCTTCATTTGTAGGGGTGTTTTTGTAATTTTGACAACCATGAGACTTATTGGAATATAAGAAAATGATATGGACTAGTTGAAACACCAATACTAGAAGGAGGATTTATCAAAAAAAATGCCCCAAAAGCCTATCTCTTTTTATTTAGACGATTTCGTCCTTTTATCTTCCATTACTTCTCTTTTTCCATTTCAATTATTAACTTGATAATCTCTCCCTGTCTCTTAATATATATATATATATATATATATCATTTTCAACGTTCTAAGTTAAATTTTTTTTACAAGATTGCAAGAGATGGTTCCATAATCTAGTCATTAAACTTCGATGATTGCTATATTTCGAACCTTGTTTGTCGTATTTGATGATTGTTTGGATCAAAATTTGCGATTGAGTCATACAACAGATGTGTATTTTGTTTGTTTCTTTAGATGAAAGAGTAAATAATTGTTGAAGGTTTTTTCAAATAAGGTTGAAGATTGAACAATATATATTTCGTTTATTACGATTGTTTTTTATTGAATCTGATTGAATAATGGTGTTTTTATTTGTTATTAGATTAACTCTACTTTGGTTTGCTCTTGTAATATGTGTCTTATATTTTGTTTGTTGATGCTCTCTGTTTAAAAGTGACAATAAAATTTTACTCTGATTTGCTATGATAATATATAATCTGTCGTTTGTTTGCTAATATTCTGTTTTAAATTAACAGTAAAATTTTACTCTATTAACATTATCATTTCATAATTTTAATAATTTTTTATCTCATATTTCTACTTGGGACAATAATTGTAACAATCCCGATTCGTGATTAGCTTATAATCTTTGATTAAAAATGCCTAATAAGTAATTACGAGGAAATTCTGATGTAGAAATATCTGTCTGTATTTCCGATTCAGTATGCCAATTGAAGGCTTTATCAGCATTCAATCATGAGATTAACTTAATTTATGTGTTGTTTGGAATTTTTAGAATTTTATGGTAGGACTAATTGGAATTCAATTCGAAACCAAATAATTAGAATAAGACAATGCTCATTTGATTGGTGGTAAGCCTAGTTTAATTAAGCTCACTAACCAAGCCTACTTAAGGCTTATATACATGTCAGAACTCTTTTGGTTCATCATCTTTTGAGGAGAAAAACGTGAGAGAGAGAGAGAGAGAGAGAGAGAGAGAGAGAGAGAGAGAAGGAAGAAATTGAGATTAAAGCTAGAGAAGGGAGATAAACTAGGAATCTTGGAGGAACTAGCTTGGAGACTTTGAGAATTGGTCATTTAGAGCCCAATTGAATACTTAGGTCATGTTTGTTTGGGCGGACATGTGCTTGGGATTGGACTAATAGTCCAATAAAATTATTAATTTGATTTTTGGTTAAAAAATTGAAGTACGGACTAACAATCCATTCGAATGTAGTATCCCACATATGATGGACTATTCAATCTCACATAGGGGGTACGATATAAATTGAGGGACTAAGTCAAAGTCTGGACTAACTTATCAAAGGACCATAATAGAGGTATTATGGTCAATAAATTGGATGTCCCATGTCCTGTCATATCCTATGCATTCCAATATCCTTAAACAAACATCAGATTGGATAATATTTTGTTAATCCCTCCTTATAATCATAATTCAATCCAAACGTAGGATATGATACACAACCTAAAGGGATTCGTAGTCCTAAGATTATTAGTCATGGAAATGCTAATCCAATGTAATCCAGTCTGCCCAAACAAACATGGCCTTAAGGTAAGAATTCAAACCTTAAGGCTATACTTGAGTTGGTTAATGCATGAATTCAAGAGAATTGAGCTAAGAGATGCAAGAATTAAGCTATAGAAGTAGAATTAAGACCATATCAAGCATGCATGTACATATCATGGTATTTTGAAGTTGTTTATCCAAAAAAATTTCATATGCATGACCTTACCTAAGCTATGTTTTCAGAATTCAACATGATTTTGTACCAAACATCTCAATTGATCATGGTTTGGAAAGTTGAAGCTTATATCATTACATGTATGTTATGTTTTGGAAGTTTCAAGTTGAATTTTGGACAATTGACTTACTTTTGGGACTTGATTTTTGCGAAATGATCCTTAATTTTTTATGTTTTATAAGTTTAGCCATGTTTTCTCAAGTTTTGGGCCCAAAGGCTATGTTTTAAAGCTTTGAAATTAAGTTTTGCATTTTGAACATCAATATGGAAATTCCATAATTCTGCATCATCGCTCGAGCGACAGAACCTGTGCTCGAGCGACCACTCTTTGTTTTGCACTTTCACTCAAGCGACCAAAAGTTGGCTCGAGGGTAAAATTCATGCTCCTAATACTTTTGCAGACATGAGCATCCGCTCGAGCAAGAGAACCTATGCTCGAACGACTGCGCCTACTTTTGAACCTTGGCTCGAACAACCAAAAGTTGTGCTTGAGCGTA